CACACCAGTACCACCTGCACCTGAACTTGATGAAGCACTATCACCTCGAGGCATGTGACCTGACTGCGTCAAACTGCTCTGGGGCATGTGACCTGACTGCGTTGAACTGCTCTGGGGCATGTGACCTGACTGCGTTGAACTGCTCCGGGGCATGTGACTTGACTGCGGTGCAATGCTTCGGGGCATCGCGGAAGTACTCTGGCTCATCATGGCATCAGTCTCACTGCGACTCAACATACGAATGGTCCCCTGTGCACAGAAAGACTGGTGACGATAACCAATCGGGACCGAATGAGTATCATTGCTCAGCTTCAAGACATTGCTCTCAGGGCGGACAAACCAACCTGCACGATACAGTTTGCCAAGGCAGATCCAAGGCAGATCAAAGGGTGAGTGACATTGGACAGGGCAAAACGCTCGTAGAACCGGCACGGGCCGATCCTCACCTCAGCAATGCGAAACTCACGTACCTGAAGAGGGTTTCCCTGGGCATCTGAATACTTCATGCTGCTCGAAGACCTGTCCTTAACTCCAACATTGGAGAACCGCAAGGGAAGTGCTGACACATCAGCACCGGAATCAAGTATGATGTCCACTTCATCATGCGTGATGGCCCTGACCTGTGGGCCTCGGCCCAGGTACATCTCGTTGATAGCCTCGAGGCAGTCATACTGATCCTCAAGGCTGATGCTTGACAGTCCACAGTCATCATCAGCATCATCCTGGGCACACTGTATCATTCTGACACTCGGGTCAAACCTGCGCTCACAAGCCTGCCCAGCAGCAACATTATGCCACTCGTCATACGAGTACGTGTCACCATCATCATACCAGGCATCATATGGTTCATTTCCACCGGGGCATGCACTAGCATCCTCAGTGCTCTCAAGGTCGTAAATGGTCAAGTTTGGGATGGGCTCCCAATCGTCTGACAGCACATACTCGAGCGGGGTTCCAAACGCCACTCTACGCACAGCAGTTTGCTGGCCCCCAGGGCCCTTTCCACCTGCTGCCTGACCTGTTGCATGCTGACCTTGCTGCCCGGCACCTGCTGATGCTTGCTGCGGCGGCTGCGGCACCTGTTGCTCACCTACCTGCCTCAACTGTGGACAATCACGTTTCCAGTGACCGGACCGTCCGCAATTAAGACAAACGTCAGCGCCTTTGCCCTTGCCTTTGCCCTTCGGGCCTTTGCCTCTGCCGCGGCCCTTGCCGCCATCCCAGCCACCATGCTGGGGGGCCTTGCCGTTCCAAGGATTGCCCTTGGCATGCTTGCCCTTGCCTTTGTCCTTGCCTTTGCCTTTGTCGTGACCCTTACCATAAGGACGATACGGCTTGCCTTTGTCGCCCTTGCCTTTGCCTTCTTTGCCTTTGACCCTGCTTATGTCCATAGGCTGAGGCCCTTGGTCGCTGGCGGTTGACGTTCCCAGCTCAACATGCACACGATGGGCCGTCCATGTGGTAGTCACCGATTCGTACTGAAGGATGCTTTCGCGGATGCTCTCGTAACTGGACTTTTCTGTCATCTGAAGTTGTACGTGTTGTTTCAAATGACTCGGGAGAACCCTTACTAGAACACCTAATCGAACATCCGGGGCTATAGGTCTTCCAGCCACCTTTTGGTACTCTTCCGATATCCTCTCAAGGGCACTCACCTGCTCGCGAATGCTTCTCTCTTTCACGAAGGCTGGATAAGCCATGTAGGCGCTCAATAGCGCCAACGAGCGTGCACGCGTGCGTGGAGCGTACACACTAATGAGTTGCCTCCAAAGCTCAAACCCATTATGCTCTTCAACAGCTCTCAACATCACCAACGGCCTGCCCTTCAGCAACCCTGACAAGATTGCGTAGAGCCTGCGGGCGCGCACACCCGTTGCACGAGCCATCTCGCTCAAGGTGATCACAACATCGGGATGTTTCTCAATCATATCCAGCTCAGTCTCAAAAGCTGGCTCAGCATAAAGGATCCAAGAGCGAAAGCTGTGCGCAAACTCCTGCCAGCGGGCAAGATCCGCCTCGTGAGAATCACCTCCACCGAAGCCTTCAGGATACTTCAAAACTTTCGCTGCATCTGTGTAACCTGAGTACTGTCGCTCAGTCCCACGATCATTCTGTTCCTGCATGCGCGACACAGCACTAGCAGCACTGGCAGCCGCACTCGAAGCAGCTTGCACGAGAGCTGCAAGCTGAGTCACGTCATTCACACTCACTTGAGGGGCTGGCTCAGTAACCGGTGCCGCTGGCATTTGCTGCACGGCCTCCTGCATACTCATCGTCGCATCACCTTGACCTGCTTCTAGCTGGCCTGGGCTCGCTGGGCTCGCCATCGGAACCACAAAAGGGGACTACACCCCTAAGGGGATTGGGTAGTGACTTGCAAGAAGAGGGGTCCTCTGCTGATGACTGCTCCTCAAGATCAATAACCTCACGGCTCACACTCAGCCTAGCGAAAGCACGCAGTGGCAGTTCCTGGGTATCTGCTGGCACTGACTTGGACTCCTCAGCCCTTAAGACAACCTCGTAAGAGTGCCTAAGGAAAACCTCGAGCAAGTGCGGATCTGCTGACAGCAATTTACAAGCGTACGCAATGATTTCAGCTGCCGTGGTCAGTTGCTCAAGTTTATACTTATGCTCTAGCCTCAGCTGAACCTGCCTCTTACCAAACGAGTAATCAGACAGCGACGGCGTGCGTGGCTTCTCAAGCTGCAACTCAGTGTAGGTTTCAATTGCGCAGGCTCGCAACTGACGAAGCTTTGCTGGCTCGTCCCAGTCTACTGTCCGTTCAGCCTCGCTTGGCCGCGCAGATGCTTCAGAAGTAATGGCGGCGAAGAGTCAAGGGCCTCACTACACGTGTGGGGCACTACCAGCTACACAGGAACCTCCTATTGGGCCTCCAAGGTCCAAAGAGCGCACTAGCGCTCCGCTACCATGAAATTTTCTCTGTGATCTTTCGAACGCCTGCAGATATATGCACTTCACCATGTGAGCACAAGATACATACCTGGCCATACATACTGTACACAAAAGGAAAACATTTGATGCGCAAAAGGAAATGTATGCACGCGCACATCGGTACCAAGTTTTGCAGAATTCAAACAATTCAAATAATTCAAACCGGGGAATCAGGGGTTTGAATTATTTCAATTATTTGTATTCCCGGGCCCCAAGCAGAATTCGAATGATTCAAATAATTCAATTCCCCGATTTGAATTATTTGAACTGTTTGAATTCTCAAACAATTCAACTTGGTTCTTGAATGGCCTCTCCCTGATAAGGGTGTCCTTTTTCCTTGCCGGGGCCTGGGGGTCTGAATATATGCTCAGCAGGATCATTTGCAAAATTATGATAGGGTCATCTTCAAGATAGGCTTGCACCGAAAGAGAGCAAGTCTTTTTCCATCTGCGGATATGCTCAACACTGCAGCGCGGCGCTCGTCTGCCTGCAAGCAACATCTTTCCGAAATGATAGCTGTTGAGAATTCGGCCTGGTGGATTTTGCATGCAGTTAACTCAAGCAGCACGGCTGTATTTCTTTTCGAACCGCGAGGCCAAACCCCAAGCCTTCCGGATCTTTTCAGCAGCACTGACCCGGACAGTTCACACTAGCTTATTTTTTATGGCTATGTTGCACATCAACCGGGCCAGCGCAGCAAAGCACAGACTGCCACTCATCCCCACCTTAGTTGTTTTGCCACGAACCATCATAGAGAACCGGAAACTCGCAACACGCAAGTAACAGCTCCAAAGCAATTATGAAAGAGATGCGTCGTGATCAGATGGAGGAACTGCTTGTACGAGATGATCTTTCCAGGAAGTTTTTCATCACCAGCAGCGGGCTTATAGGAATCTCCCACCACCCACCAAGAAGCTTTTCGGGACCTTGATTCGGATAGAGTGCATAAGTTTACAGGTCCTAGGCTTAGGGTTTACAAGGCCAGGGAAGGTCATTAACATTCGAATAAAGTCTAATAAAGTCGTAGCTAGTGTCAGCGCTGCTCTGCTGGATCGAATGATCCAGCGCCGAGATCCCAGTTCATCGCTCTCAATAGCAGAAAGTAGCTTGAGAACTGCAACTTGTTGTGTCAAACTGTCACAGAATCCCACCTGCCTTTGAACTTTTGCGGCCGCACTCAAACGAAGCAAGGGAGTCAAGAGCTGTCCACGGCGAAGGCACTCTGCCATCCAAGCCGGCCCCGCTACGTATCCTCCAACCAACCGGCTGACGCAAGCCCCGAGATCGAGACCCTGATGACTTTCAGTGCCATGATAAATCAAACCTGCCTCTGCCTCCTTCGAAGTTGCAAGGAAAATGACAAACTTTGCCCGCAAACACCTCGCAACTAGACTGCTGCTTGTCAAATGACAAACACGCAGCCCACAAAGCTGAGACAACGCCTTTGCCTTGTCTTTGACGATCTTGTCTGCATTGGGAATCTCATTCTTGCTGATAATGCAAACGGCCAGGCCATGCTGTGCATCTCCCCGAATCTCAGCCGTTTTCAGCTCCCGCAACTGCACGCCGTCCAACTTCTTGAACTCCTCTTCATCCTGAAGCTGCAGCTTCTGTAAGCGCTAACGTGCATCCGTCGCAAAAGTGGCTGGCGAAACCAAGGCCAACTTGGCTGTCACTCGCTCTGCCAAAGCAACCACCATCTTCTTCTGCCGCTTCGTGGAGTGTTCCTCAGCAGACGTGTCCAGGGCACGCTTCAAGGATTTCGTTTCCTCCAGCGGCAAGTCCTTGGGGACGGCGTCTGCCTTCTGTTGCGCTTGCAGGCGTTTCAAAGCTTGAAAATTCACTCCTTTTCTTGCTCGCAAAGGGCTGCAGTCGTTGCACAATCTTGTGCGTGTCATCCTTGCAGGGGCCATGCTATGCTCGTGCTCTCAGATCTCATGCCTGCTGACACAAGCAATGCACACACAATCCCTGGGCCCTAGGGGTAGTTTCAGTCTAACATGCCCCCTCAGTTCGTGATGCTCTGCATCGCGAACTGGACTAGCTCTTCAGCGGCGCTTGCGCTTCGGCTGCATGTCGAAGATCGCCGCATTCTGGTCCACCAGGGCCACATGGTCATCTCCACAGCACTGCTCGCACGGGTAGAGGCCGGCTTCCAAAGCTCGCCTCGTTGTGGTAGGTTCCTTCCTCCGTGCGCTCCTTCGAAAGGACGAACAGGTAGACCGGTGGTAGCTGTAGCCGAAGTTCGGGGCATACTCCACCGGCTTCTCAAGGTCCAGGTCTCCGACCCACATGGGCCCACGGATGGTTGAGACCATTCGTGCTCCTCGCTGGCCTCTTGGTCGCACGTGAACCCTAGGAGGGTCCATAGAGCTGCCGGCAGCAGAGACCAACCGTGGCATCTCTGAGCTCGGTCCAGCCTCTGCTGATGGCCTGGCCACCTCCTTGCTGGGTCCCGTCTCTCCTTCACCACGTGCCTCACCACGCTCCTTCTCGTGCTTCCGCTGCTTGCTGACCTTCAAAAGGTAGTCGACGTAGTGGTCGTGGCTGGTGTCCCGCTGGTCCTTGGTGTGCTGCTGGCCCTCGGCGTTCTGGGCCTGGGTCTCCTTGGTGCTTTGTGCTCCTCCGTGGCTGGGGCTACCGTGGACGTAGCCATGCTCAAGCCCTTGGTCAGAGCCCTGGCCAATGTGGATGCTCACATGCCAGCGCACACTCGCCAGGCATCTCCCAACCATAGCCGCCAGGAAAGCCGCCAGGAGAAACACCATGATCGCCGCCGCGGGGTTCTCGCCGAAGAGCTCCACCAGGAAGAAAACGACGGTGCCCCCGTCTGTGGGGCTGCAGCCTTGCAGGCTGGTCGCCAGCAGCAACTGCACCATCTTCAGCGTCCGTGTGTTCAGCCCGGACGTCTTCCTCAGCTCCTCATTGAGCTCATCTGCTCCAAGGTGCTCGCCCCCATCATTCACCATGCCAGCGACCCCGCTCAGCATGCGCAACCGGCTCGCCGAGAGGATCTTCGTGCCCATGTCGGTGGGGTTCTTGCTGGTGCCGATGGCCGCTACCTTCAGCATCTTCTTGTGGACCCACTGCTGGATCCACAGGCTCGAGGTTTGCAGGTGTTTCACCCTGCCCACACCAAGGCGAATTGAAATCGCCCTTGCCACCGAAGAGTCGGTCCGCGCCACATGGTCTGCCTCGGCTCGCATGAGGAATTCCCACGCTTTGTGGATCAAGATGCTCTCGCCGACCGTTTGCGTCAGCGCCACCGGCTCAGCTTCGCCCGAGCTTAGGGTCACGACCTTCTGGCTGCGTACGAACGAAAACATCAAGCATTTGTCGATGTACACGTGGCCGCTCGAGAGGCTCTTTCGGGTGTTGCGGTCCGTTGCGAAGTTGCTGTCACTGACCGCTTCCACCAAGTGCTTGCCGTAGGGGCCGCTAGCGTCGAAGTTCATGATCGATGCCCCCTTGGTTGCCTTGAAGTTCACCCCGTGCCCCTCGGTCGCCTTCATGAAGCCAGCCAGCCAGGTGCTTGAGCACACGAAGTGCCCCCTCGGTTGGTGCCGCCGCCCGGGACGCCAAGAACTGGATCACCACCTGCAGGTCGGGGCGCTCGCCGGCAATGTAAAGGAGCTTGCCGACCACCGTTCTGAAAAGGGTTGCCTCTCCTGGCCCGAGCTGCTCGGAGTCATCGACCATGAAGAGGTCGCCAACGGGGCCGGGTGTCTGTCGCAGCCGGGGCTGCTCAAGGAGGTCGAAGATGTCGATGTAGAAGTGGGCCGCCGCGCGCACCGTGATCGACCCATCTGCCTCGATCCTGAACCGGCGCTTGAGGAATTCGAACTCGTCCCCCGGGTAAAACGGCCCATTCACCTTGATGGTGTAGACCTTGCCCAGGCTGTCCAGGAGGGGGTTCACCACCTCCAAGTCGCCAGTCATCATGGCATCGTCCACGTGAACCTGGGCCGCCTTTCGCTCCTCAGGGCTCTTGGCCCGATAGAGCGTCGGGACTTCGATCATCGCCTCCAGGCCTTGCTTCTCGAGGTCCACATTCAGGGGCACAAACCATTCCTGAGCACCGCGACGCTGGTCGGGAAGAATCCGGCCCAGCTTCCACCTCTTGGGTCCATAGCGTCGCACATAGGAGAGCGGGGCGTCCACCACCACAGGCGCATCAGCAGGCTGCTCCACATTCTAGGCGTCTTTTGCGTCGCACACCCACACGTTGGCCCATCGGTATCGCCGCGCCACAAGGCGCGCTCGCCGCCACCAAGTTCCCTTCTCGCCCTTCCACGTGGTAGCGAAGGTGGTGCTGAGGAGCTCTGCCTCCTCTCCCGCGATCGGCTCGATCAGCACGCCCATGCCAATGAGCCGCTCGATCTCTTCCACCTCCGCCATGTCGTCGTACTCCTGGAGGGTCTCTGGGTCGAGGTCCGGCGGCTGGTCGGCATTTTCCGTCGTGATGTGCTTCGGGCTCTGCTTGTCGTCTGGGCCGACCTCTGGCATCTCTGGGTCCTGCTCGGTGCTGGCCAAGCTGGTTGTAGACCACTCAGCGTCCACGGTCTTGACCATCCGGATGCTCATCGGGTTGACTTCTTCGCCTAAGGCCGCCTCCTCTTGGGTCCGGTCCGCTTGGTGCTGGTCTGTGCCTTTCCTTGTGCCTCCTCTTGGGTCCGCTTGGTGCTGGTCTGTGCCTCTCCTTGTGCCTCCTCGAGGGTTCGCTTGGTGCCGGTCTGGGGCTCCACGTCCGCCTCTTTTGCTGCCCTGGCTGGGCTCGCTGCGTCCTCCGGCCCGTCGCTTTGGTGACGGAGGTGGACCGTCGCCCTTGATCATCTCTCCGAGCCGGCCTTCTCCGCAATCTCCTTGGCTGCCTTCTCCACCGCGGCTGCCTCCTCGTCGGAAGACGGCCCGTGCTCATCATCATCCCTTTCGGGCGGGGCCGCCACCATGGGGAATGCCACCGCCACCGGGCCGATCTTCTTGCCCATCTTGGGTCGGAGCACTGCGCTGCTGGACAGCCACGGCAGCCCACAGAACTTGTTGGGCGGCTGCTGCTCGGCCGCTCGTCTCACAGAGGCTGCCTCGATCGCGCCCTTGTCGGTGAGGATATTGTGGGTGCCGTTGGTGGGGTTCGGTCCGGCCCAGGCTCCAGCGATCCACTGGGCGCCTCCCTTGTAGGGTGTCACCATCTTGCCATGGACAGTTTCCCCAAAGATGCAGAGTTTGCCGGCATTGAAACCTGTTGTACAAGAAGGCCGCGTGCTGCTGAGACCACAAACGGATGTCGCAGCCAACGGGCATCTTCCCGTGGGTTTCTTCCACAGTTTCCATCAGCGTATTCGACAATCTCCTGATGGTTTGAATTGCACGCTCCGCCCCGCCATTGGCCTGATGAACCCCCGTCGGGGTCGTCCTCTGCGTCGTCTTTCGGCCCAGGCTCGCTCGAGCCTCGGCCGTCGTGCGGACCACCGCCTTGATCGTGGGCTCGGCGTCCGCAAGACGATCTGGTCCTGGTCGTGGAGGGCCAGCGTGAACCTGAGCAGTTCCTCCGCGTAGCCAGGGCTGGGCCTCCTTTTGCCAAGCCAGCCACCGCCAAGACCATCCGCGTGTCGAGGTCGACGGCCACCAAGTTGCAGGAGTGACTGGTCTGCCCTCGGGGTCCACAGAGGTGAAGGAGAAGTCGACCTGGACGATCGGGGTCCGGTCTGTCGCTTTGCGTCGGCCGCGGCGGTCTCCTCGGGCACGGGTTTTCACACATGCGCTGCACCAGCTGGCGTACGGCAGGTGTGTCAGCATGTGCTTGCGCACCTCCGTTTCTGAAAATCTTTTGATTCCTCAAAGACGCCTGCGGAGTATAGCGCAATCACAATGTGAAACACATGAGTGCATGAAATACGATAAAGCAAATCATGATAAATTGCATGGGGTATCCTAGGAGGCAAAATAATAAACACCCCGCCTACGAAGCTTCATTGAGCTCGCGGGTTGAAGTCTTCGGCATCGTCAAGTTTGCCTCACCCCTTTCGAAACAACAGCTTGCTTAGTTCAGGATCGCACTCGACCTACAGACGACTTTTCATGAGCACTGCCTCAAAAGGTCGTTGGCTCGATACTATGCTCAACTACGTAGAACTGTACATCTACGACTAGGTTACACCGTCTCTGAGGGCGTGCATCGCCCACGAGACGATAGCTTCACTCACCCAAGCGTAGGCGGAAGTGGGCTCCATGCAGCTCTAGGCTGCGCCACCACGACGAAGCATGATTCCTAAGGAATCAGCACAATCAGACAACGGATTGAGATGCCTAATTGCATCGAGTGGCTCGTGAGCCTACTCCTGTGGACTCGCAGCTGCTCCACAGCTGCCAAAGTGGTTGGTAAGTGAATGACTTCTGATTTTGATAACTTTGGTTTTTGCCAAGCCCACTGATCCAGCCCCCGCGTTTCAACCCTACAAATGAACGTACTGATTGGTGCGCCCCTCAGTTACAGGATCGTGTCGCCGCTGACATAAAAGCCACCGTCCTCTCCAGGCCTTGCAGATTTTGCAGGGACACCTATACCAAGACTCCGAAGGTTCATGGTAGGTGCCTCCCTCTTCTTCAGCTTAGAGTCCTGCAGAGCCATGGCAGACAACCATGCCCTTGCCCAGATCTCGCAAATGGGACGGAAGAGGACTGGTTCGACGACGACGAGCTGGTGACCACACCCAGAGCCAAGGCGCAACGACTGAACGGCAAAGGCGGGGCAAGACGGGACCAAAAGAGAACCCGCGAAAGGGAGCTAGACCGGCCCCATCGCTGAGACCGGCCCATCCGGCGAGGCAGCCCCCCGAGTGCGCAAATAATGGCCCTAGCCCTAGCCAACATCATGGCGCGGCACGAGACACTACAGCAGCTGGAAGCCGATCGCTCTTGGATTCTTTTCATGGACACGGGATCGCGACTGCGGCTCCGCCAAGCCCTGATGGGTGCAATGTTAATGGAGAGCCAGAATGGTGAAGCTGAGCACGGACAAGGAGGATGCGGAGAAGCAGACTCATGTGCCTACAGACAGGGGCCCCTGGCACACGATCGGGCCCTAATCTTCATGCTCCATCTCTCAAGAGGCCCCAGACAAGATGAAAATCAGGGAAGCCCTCGGCACCATGACCGAAAACTCAGTACTGCGACTCATTGGAGTCAGGCTACGCCCGAAACGCAGCATCGACCACTGCCAAAGGCTTCACTACAGCTCCTGAAGGCAGCAGCACAAAGAAACCACCAAATAAGGGGAAACCGCCACCGGCCCCAGTGGACACGAGGGCCTTCATCAGCTCCTGACCCTGTAAAACTTACAAACCCTGAACAACCCGTCAAGGTCTGCACAGACTTTTGCTCGCGCAACAAACGAAGAAATTCAGCTGTTCTTGCACTGCACTGCTGTCACCTAAAGCTTTGCTTTAAGCTTTGCTTTAATGAGCCTCAGAACGTGTTTCATCATCGGCCCATTCTTTCAACGAGCATCAGTCTCAAAGCTTTCCAGCCTTGAGCCACACATAAGCGCGGCACTCCGGATTCACATGTGCTTCAGCACATGTCAAAACAAAACTTCGCTTCAAAAACATGCCGTCACAGCTTCCTACAAGCTCCACGCTGGCAAACAAACTTGCACACACTACAGCTGTTCGAGAAGGTACCTTGAGGCCTTCGAGAACTCATGCGGACTCTAATCAAACTAACGGCTCACAGCATTCACTCAGCTCACTCAAAAGCTCAAGCAACTCATGCCACATGTCGAAAACTGTTCTCGCAGCTGAAAACCAAGGTTCCATGCCATGAAAACCGCAGCTCCCAGTGAAAATCTTCCAGTGCTTTGAGAAAACCTCTGCAAAACCATGCAGTATATATCCAGATAACCATTGCACCTCAGAAAATTCCAGGAATCGCAGGAAAATTGGCTTGCTCCCAAACTGCAGTCAGCAGCCTGATGATATACATATCGCAGCCCATCACACTGAGCGGCTCCACCACTCAACAGGCAGCTCAGAGGTACAACTTTTCACACCCCCTTTCGATGTGTGTATCATCTCTCATCCTTGCTGCTGTCCAAAACAAGCACTTCTCGACACCAAGCACACATTGAAACATTGCCAACCATGTAGCCACGCTGCAACCCATGCGAAGCGACGAAGACATAGGTATTGGAAAAATCTCGCGCCAGATAGCCAGCTCTTCTCTCATGCCAGACAGGACGTCACCCAAAGCGAAGCCCAACAGACTTCTAACAGTGAACATACACATAGGCATCCTTGAGAATACCAGCTCTCACCGCTCATACATGTACCCATGCTCCTTCCGCAATCCCAGCGAGGATTTTACTCCTCCGCCAACTTGCGCTGGAATCCCTTCTGCTTTGAAAAACCAATCCTCATCAAATACCCCGCAAGGTCCGAGGACTGACTGGAGGAGGTCGTCGGATCATAATTGCGACCAAATTTCTCCTTGATCCAATTGAGGTAGCTTGCAAGGTCGCTATCCTCCTTGGCAAGCTTGACCAAGGTCGCATAGGACTTCTTAAACCACATCTTATTCTTCTGGACCTTTGGCAGATCGCAGATTGTCCGACCCCAATCCTCCATAGATAGATTACTTGGAAGTGGCACCGAGGTGACCTCAGTACCTGCATAACTCACGACAATCACATTGTCGCTATCCCCAAACTCTTCCCCCTCGACTGCATCGACGAGGTCTTCATAACACTTGGGAGTGCTCACAGCACCCTTTGCGCTTCCCTTTGAAATCGGCAGCTGGGCACCGCAAGCAGATCCTGATGCAGTAGACCCATCCTCTGGATATCCACCCACATCTCTGAGACGCTTGGTCCCATCGGTCATAGAAGTATTGGCAGTCGAAGCCAAGCCATCTGCAGAATCCATCTTATCCAGCAAACGGCGCAGCTCCCTGCGTTCATCGGTCGTGAGAACCATGGCAGCACGAGTTCGCACCTAGGTTTCACACGCAAAAACAACTAGCACCAGTACGGAGCTTTGTCTGCAGACCTCAACGTCCGCAAAGAAACCGGCGTCAAGAGGAGAATCCGAACCCAGCCAACAGCCCGGCCCAAACCCCCAAAAAAGCATCACTGCAACGTTTTGATCGCACCTCGAACAATCGCATCAGCGAGTTTCGGAGTGTAAAAACCTGTTTCGGTCCACCCAACTTGCCACAGACTTGCATGCTTAGCACACCTGCAGCTGGAAAAACACTTCAGGGCAGACACAAACTTTTCAGAAGTCGAAGTAAAACCCAAGACTTTGCCTATAGGCTCACCCCCTTTCGAACAAAGACCAGTCATGCACAACCTCACCGGCACATCGAACGTGTGGCCTGCCTTCTTCAGCACCTTCTGGCACAAGTCATGTTGCCAAATCTCATTGTTCCATGGCAGCTCAAAGCTCGAGTGCTTCCCAAGCTTCAAGTACTTCAACACACAAGGAAACACCTCAAACCATTCCCAATCCGACTTCGACGAGCTCCCGCCAGAGAACCGACGCAAGTAAGATCCAGAAGAGCAAGGCGTGGACACATGCACAAACACGCAGTCACACGCAAAGTTCAGAAGATATCGACGCACCTCTTTGAACACGCTGTCACTCTGCATGTTCTCAGTCACGCCAACGTAACTCATCCCGACTCTGCGACATGCACCTTGAACACTCGACTGCGGTCGACAGCACACTTCAACCATCACCAATCTCTTCTCATGATTGCACAAAGACGCAAGTGGTCCCGACAGCGACTCAAAGCCCAACGCTTCGCGATGTATCCCGAAAGCCGAGGACCCCAAACATTTAGTCAAGAGGTCTGACGGATTTTCGATTCCCTTCTTAAACGCAAGGACCAAAGAACCCGCTGCGACACGAGCTTTAAGCCACTCGACTCTTATCTCAAGATGTCTGCTTTGTCTGGGTGTGTCCAAATTGCGAAGAAGCTTCAAAGCGCTTTCTGAGTCACTGTAAAGTATCCCAGGCAATTCAACTTCCTCGCTTTCTCGAAACGACATGAAGACCCTTGCCATGAACTTTCCAAGACTCGACATTTCTTGAGCAACCGACTGCAACGCAAACAGCTCTGACTCCATAGACGACAGCGACACAAGCTGTTGGTGACGACACAAAGTCTTTATCACGCAGCCATCAAGTGTCAACACTCCTCCACTGATGCCACGGCGCTTCGTGCACTTCAAAGGCGCATGCGATGCGTCAGAGAAACACACAAGGTGCTTCTTTCCTTGGTAGTGTTGCGAGGGAGCCAACACATCACTCGCAGCAGGCAACCGCACAACCACGCACATGTCGTTCTTCAGAAATCGAAGCAAGGCTCGGAGACCATGCTCAGTATGATTCGTGGGTGTGGCTTGCTGCGTTGCCAAGATTGACACATAAGCACGCAAGTCCTGACGAGTCTGCGTCATCCAAGCTACTTTCCCCAACGCAGACCTGAACCTGGCATACGCCTCAGGAGACAATGGAACCCCATCTTGCTTCTCAACATGAACCGCAACATCTGGAGGACTTGAGGAACCTTTTCCCGAAAGACCATAAGCCTTGAAGGTCTCATCCAAATAATCTTCTGGCAAAGACACTGTGATAGAGGACTCCCCCTTTCTCCTGGAGATAACCCTACCAATAAACCGCAAAGTGCCACCGCCATCCTTGGAAGAATTGATCAACCCGGTTCTCTTGAGTTCAACTTTCTTCTCAATCACCTCAAAGATGTGATCTGCATCCTCCTTTGTTGGCGCAATGCACAGAAAATCATCCACATAGACCAACAGCAAACAGGGACCTGACTCAAGCATGCCTGAAAACAGACACGGCTCTAAGCTGCAACTTTGAAGCCCCAAAACCTTCACAGTCTCCCCTACGAAGTAGATCCATTCTTGCGAAGCCTTGCGTAGCCCATTGAGGGCTTTGTTGAGGTGAAGATACAAAGGATCCCCTGAAACCGAAGACACTGACAGAGGAAACCTCATCACCACATTTCTCTCAAAGGCGTAGCCATGAAAGCGTGAGATACATCAGCACCTGCAATCACGCAATCTCTGCAACCTGCAACCCCAAGAACCGTGAACAAAGCATCGGCACTAGGAGTAGGACTCGAGATGCCCAAAGCCCTTGCAGACTCTGAGTTCTTGCCAGCAATATCCTTGATGACAATCCTAGCTCGCACTGTAGTTGGTGTTTTCTGCGTCGTGACCCAACGACTAGGGATGACCTTCAAGGTACCTGGGAACCTCTTCTCAAGACTCTGAAGTTCTGAAGCAGTCAACAGATCCCCAGTTTCCATGTGACTCAAATTGTTGACTTCTTTGACCATGCCTTCCATGACCTGATCTCCTGAAAGCTCACCCAAGGTAGAGTCATCAACAGCGGAACTAGGCTTCCAAAGTCTCAAATGCGACCTTTTCCCAAACGGCAAAACAACACTCGTAGAGTTCGGGGCGAACTGAACCGAATCCACAAGCCCTGAAAGCAAAGGGACATAATTGGAAACCTGGAACGCCTGCTCAACAAAACTCGCAAGAGGCATGTGAACATCATTCCCTGTTTCGCAATTGTGGAAGGTAACCATAACTGAAGCAACCCTTTCTTGGTCCTGCCTGATCTCACGCTCCAGATCTTCCAACGGGACTTCAGAGGAGCGTTTCACAGCACTGCTTCCACGAAGCACTTCTTCAGCCTCTAGGCTGCCTCCGCCTTCACTTCCAGTCAACACTGGATCGGCAAACGGCATCTCAGTGTCCTCATCAAGAGCCCCAATGCCCTCAGACTCAGGAGCAACAGCTCCTTCAAGATTTTCAGGCAGACGCCTGGATGAAGCTTCGTCATCATCGGGCTCCCCAGAAACAGAAAATCTAACACTCAGATGTTGGTTCCTTCGCTTGCAATCAGCATTGTGACGAATGCCAGGAGCATTCATGCCAGACTCGCACGCAGGACAACCACGCGTGAAAACACGACCACTGGGGGCCGCCTCGCTCACAATCCTCGCTGGAGCCTCAGACGAAGCAGCGTCCCCATTGGCCGGGGGAGGCAAAGGAGAACCCTGAGCCTCCTCCACAGCTCGGTCTTGCCTCGACTCATCCTCGGCTAGCTCAGAAAGAGCTTCACGCATAGCCTCTGCATCCGAAGCCACAGGCACTTCAACGTCCATGCTGTCATCTGTTGCAACTTGCGACCGCAACCACGCTTCATATCTCAAACAGCAAGCCCGACCGTGAGAAGAGCCCTTCCTAGACCCAAATTGTGCCATGTTAGAACACGCTCGGCACTCACCTGAGAACCCATACCTCTCAAAAAACTCCTTTGGCGGACCGGAAACAGGACACTTCAAAGAGGCACCCTGGGAACTCGGAAGAATCCGAGGCGCAACTGGATGATCTGGCCTCTCAGGCCCAAGCTCACCACGACGACGCAAAACTTCAAACATCCCCGACTCGAAGACAAGCTCAATCGGAAACACAAGCTTGATCGACTTGGCAACAAACACCTTTGGCGTCAAGACCTGGCCCACACGCACATGCGCATACACCAAGCTCCCAAGCGACCCAAATTGCGGGTGAAGAAAAGCTGCCGCCTCAAAACGCGACATATTCGGGCACAAAGCCTTCACAGACTCAGGGACCTCAGCAAGCACCTTGGACCCAAACAACGCAAAAGGGGTATCTGGCAACCTTCGACCAACTGCAACCTCCTTTGGAGAGCGTTCACCGCCAAAAGCTTTGCCATTCGAATTCACACTCATGCACAGGTAAGAAAGTGCAAGCTGCAACAAGTCTCTCCGAAACGACAAAACGCAACCAAGCGACTGAAAATCACTTTGCAGAGTAGCTAGCCCTTCTTTAAGGACCCGGACTGTCCTTTCCGCACCACCAAGCTGTTCATGAGCTTGTGGCGCAGCCTTGCGCACCATAAAGATGTACTTATCCGACGCACCTGCAACAAACGACTTCACCGCTTCTTCGGAATCTGTCAAAAGCACAATGCTTGCCTGTGAGGACGACAACCCAAACTCAGCAAGCCACTTCAAAAGAAGACCTCTGTCCTTTGCAATGTTCTCAGTTATCATCACAGCCCCAATAGAAGAAGAAAAGGCCTCACGAAGGACGAGGACCTTGAAAGAGCTACTTGTCTGGCGCTCAGCTACGCTGATCGTCTCTCCAGAAGAGTCGAGAAACATAAAATCTGCAACAATCTCTGTTTCCACTCCGCGCTCAGACTTTCGCCTGTGTTGGGTAACACCTCGGGACTTCAGACAATGCTCGCAATCAGGATGGAAGGGCATGTGGCCCTTTGCTCTGTGAATTTCAAGATCTTCCTTGGTCTTCTGCGAAACAACTGCAACATGTCCAATCGAGGAAATTGGAGCAGGATCAACTGAGGCATCCGACGGCAACAAGAGATCACCTTCTGAATGAGGAATCACGCGGATCCAAGGCGTGTCACACCAAATACAGGTATCAATCATATCAACACCCGACTTCACATGACACACAGAAACGCCTTCATCCAAGACAACACGCCAACCATGCCTTCCAAGAGTTCGCGTTGACAGGATATTGTAAGGAGTGTCACCCACCATCACAGGAATCTTGCAGACACCATTCTTGGTAGCTCCACTTGAATCCTTTGTGCGAACCTTTAGCACAACATGGCAACGACCATCAAAGGGAACAGGAGTCCCATTCGCAGCCATAAACGTCGAACCACATGCAGTCAACTCATCATGCGGAAGCGTCTTCAACGTCACATGGTTGATAACACAGCATGACGCACCTGAGTCAAGCAGCCAAAACTCACTTCCAAGCGACTGACCCAACGACTGCAACAAAGGTTGACACAACTGCTCTTGGAGCACAACAGACACCGACTCGCTGTCTTCAAGGACAGCTTCAAAACGCGTATTGGGCTCATCAGTTAACTCAATGACACAAGATAACACAAGAGTGGAGTCCACCTGCTGTGCTTCTTGCTCATCACCTTCTTCGGTGTAAAAAGATTCATCAGCATCTGTGTACCACCAAACCCCTGTCTCCTCATCAAACAGAGCAAACATTTTTCCTTTCTTTCCTCCTTTTCCTTTGCTCTTGCCTTTAGGCGAAAAAGAAACTTGACCCTTGGCCGCAGCAGCACCTTTGCCATCAGAACCCTTAGGTCTCGCACTCGACTGAGAAACATCACCCTGCTTGCCCTTGGCACAGTTCAAAGATATGTGGCCCATCTCTCCGCACTTGAAGCACTTAACCTTGGAAAGGTCTGCCGTGCACTGATTCACTTGATGCCCCTTCTTGCCACAACGGTTGCACTTCACACCGCTCCCAGCATCAGAAGGCCTAGCACTCATGCCAAAGACGTGACCATCCATTCCCTCACCTGCCTCAGGCGAACCTGCGCTCTCAGAAAACTCGGTTTCATGCAAGCCAAACAAACCTTTGGCCCCTTGCAACTCAAGAAACAAACGCTGCTGATGTTCCCATCGCAAAGCTGAAGATCGATATGAGGCATATGTCTCACCCTGCGAATGATGTAACGTATACGCCTTTGCGCTCTCAGGCAAAGACCTCATCAAAAGCGTAAGCTGATCACTGTCAGTCAAAGCAAACCCAGCAGCATCTCTAGGATCTAGCGTCGAAAGTAAACGCACAAACCTTGCCACTGCCACCTCAATCTGACGCACTGTGTCAGCAACTGGAGCTGACGAGTCTTGCGCTCGAAACGTTCTTGCCATCAGCATCGCCCTGAGACTCATAGCCTCAGCACGACTTCTCAAAGAAAACTCCTTGGCAAGCTGCCTAAGCAACTCAAAGCCATTACCCATATACGAAAGAGAGTTCCCGAAAACATCTCCCTGCATGGCGACTGCAACAATGTCAAGCCCTTCTCCGAGCTTTGGATCATAAGAGTTATCCGCCCATGATCTGCAAACGCTGCCTTCAGCACACTAAACAAACGAACTCCTCGCGCTTGTTGACTCTTAGACAACGTGTTCCATGCAATCTGTGTAGGCCATCGCGCGGCCTGAGCGATCTCCTTTCCAAACTCAACACTTGCTTGATTCGCCCATGCAACCAACTCGTGAATATAGGCATTCATGCCCAGCACTTCAGATTCACGCCCTTTCCACGCTTGATGATTTGGCGAAGGTGGAGACCCTAGCCACTTCTCACTGCGGCTAAAGACGTCTTTGTCTTCACTGCTCCTCGCGTTTTCAGCTGGAACACCAGGTAACGTGTTACCTTGATGTCTCACAAAAGCTGGCACATTCAAATCAGGTGGCGACTGCCCCAATCTCTCAGGAACGAACTGTCCACTCACAGGGACATTCAGTCTTTGGCTAAGATCTGCATACAAGGACTGCAACTCACGCGCATTCATGCGATCAAGCAGCTGTCTCCCTGCACTAGCATTATCTCCAGAAACCTGACTGCAACATCCTTGACTCGGAACTGTCGAAAGATTCCTCGCAGGACCCGAAGGCACTGACAAACCTGGAGCTGGCGCCACTGGCCTAATACCAGCACATGCACTCGCAACTGAAGACGTACCGCTCGAAGGTGGACATGGCATGCTAATATGAGACTCCATCGGTCCCATTCCAGCACGCATACGATTTCCATACAACGCCCAGGGATCTCTCTGAACACCTGTAAACCATGGATCGCTTGACCCCAACACCACTCACACCTTCCACACCTGTTTGCCTCCTTTCCTGTTGCCCACACCCAGCTGTACCACACCCATACTCCCCTCCAGCCTCAGCAAGACCTGGACTACACAGAGCTGGCGCCTCAGCACTTGGACCAAAAGGCCTTTGAGACATAACACCTTCTTTGGGTCGGCGGAAATGGTGTGGGAGCACAAACAGCGCTCCGCTACCATGTAAAACTTACAAACCCTGAACAACCCGTCAAGGTCTGCGCAGACTTTTGCTCGCGCAACAAACGAAGAAATTCGCTGTTCTTGCACTGCACTGCTGTCACCTAAAGCTTTGCTTTAAGCTTTGCTTTAATGAGCCTCAACGTGTTTCATCACCGGCCCATTCTTTCAACAAGCTTCAGTCTCAAAGCTTTCCAGCCTTGAGCCACACATAAGCGCTGCACTCCGGATTCACATGTACTTCAGCACATGTCAAAACAAAACTTCGCTTCAAAAGCATGCCGTCACAGCTTCCTGCTCACGCTGGCAAACAAACTTGCACACACTACAGCTGTTCGAGAAGGTACCTTGAGGCCTTCGAGAACTCATGCGGACTCTAATCACTAACGGCTCACAGCATTCACTCAGCTCACTCAAAAGCTCAAGCAACCCATACCACATGTCGAAAACTGTTCTCGCAGCTGAAAACCAAGGTTCCACGCCATGAAAACCGCAGCTCCCAGTGAAAATCTTCCAGTGCTTTGAGAAAACCTCTGCAAAACCATGCAGTATATATCCAGATAACCATTGCACCTCAGAAATTCCAGGAATCGCAGGAAAATTGGCTTGCTCCTAAACTGCAGTCTGCAGCCTGATGATATACATATCGCAGCCAATCACACTGAGCGGCTCCACCACTCAACAGACAGCTCAGAGGTACAACTTTTCATAGACCCCCTCAACCCGAACGGGTTCAGCTCTGTTGGAGGAAGGCGTGATTCGATGTACCCAGATCACATCAACAATACGATGTGGCTGAATTCTTCACATTTCTCACGGATCATGCACGCCTGCCAGGCATGCACCAATGGAAAGCCTCATCTGCGGAGGAGCCCCTTCTTCATGCTCACCAGAGAATGAGCTCGGTGCCACTCATTACATTCCCGTGCACTGATTCTGAGCACACAGCTCATGCGATTTGGTGGAAACCTGGAGAAGAAGTACAGGGGAGACCCACTCAAGCGAAGCCAGAATTGCTGGACTTTCTCAGCCCTACATTTGGAGTCGCACAGCTTGCCATTTTCACCAACAGTGCAAAGCCTCTCGAACCGTCATTTGTGGGGTTTCGAGACAGAAACGAAGCCTTCCAAAGCCTCTCTCGTGGGGTTCCGAGGCCCTTCGAAGCCTCCCGAGGCACTCGTGGCGTTCGTGGCCCTGATGTGGCTTATGGGTTTTTGGGGTTGGTTTGAAGTTGGTTTGGGTGGGTTTGACCAGTTTAGAAGGCCTGGGTGGGTTTGGGCTGGGTTTGGGTGGGTTTGACAATGTTTTGGAAGGGTTTTGAGTGGGTTTGAGAGGTTTGGGGCTGGGTTTGGGTGGGTTTGACCATGTTTTGGAAGGGTTTTGAGTGGGTTTGAGGTTTGGGGCTGGGTTTGGTTTGACCTATTTAGAAGGGGTGGGTTTGGGTTTCGAGAACTTGTTTGGCCGGTTTGTCTCTTACCTTGGCCGCCTGGCTGAGAAGGTTTCAGCAGCAGGGGTCTCGGCCACCATGGAGCGTGCATCGTCCATCTATACACGCCTATCTTCATGTATCAGTTGCCTTCCAGCGACGTGGACAGGACCCCTCAATCTCTTGCGGCCGCACGTGGCACCAAATACCGCTTCCGGCAAGGGACATGCCAAGGTGATGTGCGATTTGGTCATTTTTACGCCGTCGCCGACAAACTTGGGACCCTGTTCCTGGGCAGCAGATGCTGTAGATACTGAGATGCGAAGTTGAAGGGAACTTCGAGCAAGCTGCGGCTTAAAATTCTATAAGGAGAGAAAGCAGGGTCAGCTACGTCCCAAGGCGTGGTGGGGACTCCTCAATGAGTATTATAAAGCCCCAAGTCCCCGAGGCCTCGTATTCTTGCAAGCTAAGGGTGTTTTAAGGTTCTGGAAGGCCTCGGATGGGCCTCGAACGGCTTCAAACTCTGGGAAATGAGGCCTCGGGCGGCCTCGAACGGCTTCAAACCCTGCGAAATGAGTTGACACTTGTTTTTGCAAGATTACGAGGCCTCAGGGACTCGAATCTTTATTTTTCTATTAAAGGGGTCACCAGAAGCCTCGGACCGCTGTGTAGAATTTTAACCCGCAGCTGGCTCCAAATCCCTTTGGTGGACTTGGACAAAGGCTTCAAGAAGCTTTGATGATCTTGCAAGCTATTGGCTATTGCTGACTCCACAAATCTTGGCAATCGTAGCCGGAAGCCTCGATGATCTTGTTCCAGCGATGCCTTCTAATAAAGCTCAAAGATCTCGATTGGCTAAACAAAAGCTTCGAGAACCTTCGATGACATTGCAAACTGACGCTGATCTCCAGCGGATATACAAGCAGGATGAAGCACAAGGAATGATGCTGCCGGACGACCCCATTTCTGGGCCCACGAAACGAAAGCAAATCTGGCTTCGCCGCCATGGGCCTCCGCAGTGCAAGTACGCTGGTTGTGGCATTTAAGGTGAGCGTGCAGCTACTTTGGACAAGCCTTCTGGCTTTTTCAATCTTGCGTCTGCGTGATGCCCAAAACTGCTGGAACAAAGGCAGGCGCACGCCCGAGATCCAGCTGGTTGGCCCCGAACATTGCGACCCCCAAAATGGGGCCGTTTCGCGGCCCCGAAAACAAGGCTGCGAAATGCGCCCGGCCTCCTTAAATATATAGTCTGAGCATGAGTTGGAGGCCTGGAGCCCCGACCCCAAAAATGGGGCCGCCAAACGGCCCCATTTTTGGGGTCGCGAATTCTTCTATTTTGAGGCACGCCCGCCTGACTGCTACGTGATGAGGCGACTGGGACAATCTTGCATGATTAAGACTTCCATGGCCGGCCTGCTTTCTTATGATGGAAGCAATCAGCATTGAATTAACATGAAAGAAACAGGCACAGGGGAGGCCCACTCAAGCGAAGCCAGAATTGCTGGACTTTCTCAGCCCTGCATTTGGAGTCGCACAGCTTGCCATTTTCACCAACAGTGCAAAGCCTCTCGAACCGTCATTTGTGGGGTTTCGAGACAGAAACGAAGCCTTCCAAAGCCTCCCCCGTGGGGTTCCGAGGCCCTCCGAAGCCTCCCGAGGCCTCACTCGTGGCGTTCGTGGCCCTGATGTGGCTTATGGGTTTTTGGGGTTGGTTTGAAGTTGGTTTGGGTGGGTTTGACCATGTTTAGAAGGCCTGGGTGGGTTTGGGCTGGGTTTGGGTGGGTTTGACCATGTTGTAGAAGGTTTTTGAGTGGGTTTGAGAGGTTTGGGGCTGGGTTTGGGTGGGTTTGACCATGTTTTAGAAGGGTTTTGAGTGGGTTTGAGAGGTTTGGGGCTGGGTTTGGGTGGGTTTGACCATATTTAGAAGGGGTGGGTTTGGGTTTCGAGAACTTGTTTGGCCGGTTTGTCTCTTACCTTGGCCGCCTGGCTGAGAAGGTTTCAGCAGCAGGGGTTTCGGCCACCATGGAGCGTGCATCGTCCATCTATACACGCCTATCTTCATCTATCAGTCGCCTTCCAGCGACGT